ATACTCTCGCGGAAAGGGCTTAAAGATTAAATGTTCTCTAACAATATCTTTAGGATGCTACTTTTTGAAATTACATTTAGGACAGGGACACTGAATCTTACCATTTACGGCAGCATTGGCGAAAGCAAAATCCAAGAAATAGTTTAGACCAGCCAAGTATTGCGGAGTCGACCGGTACAAGTTGATCCACGAATTATCCATCACTAATATTGCTCAAATTTCGTGAAAATATGACACAGGAAGCTCAAAGAGAAGTTAAAATGGAATTCAGTTGAAGTGCTTCAGCTTATAAAGGAGGCTGCCAACGAAGTGGAACGGTCATTTTTTTGTAGCGGTTACAAAACCGCTACAAATTTGTAGCGGTTTTAACGGAAATTTTCATTTTCTAGCGGTTATTAACCGCTAGAAATTCAAAATATCAGTTACAAACCGATAGAAATTTCTAGCGGTTTTAACGGGAATTTTATTTCCAACGGTTTTGACATTTCTAGCGGTTATTTATAATTTTCTAGCGGTTTTGTAACCGCTAGAAAAGTTTCGGTTGTTTCAAAACCAGATGAGATTAGGTTGAATTTTCTAGCGATTTTAGAACCGCTAGAAATATTTCGCCTTGATTTTCTTGCGGTTTATTAACCGCTAGAAATTATATTATTTTTAAATATTAAATATAAATACTGCGCAATAAATTAATAACATTACAAAAATAAATATTTATTAAATTAATATTTAATTATAGAATTATTTTGGTTAATTAACATGTTTAACGTGTTTAATAAATTGTAATGTTCATGTTGTAATAAATAAATAAATATTTCAATATTAATTAATACTTGACATAAATAAAATTATAGAAATAAATAAATAAAGTAAACAAATAAATATAAAATTTAAATAAATATCTAAATTCTGAGTAAAATCATAAAATCAAAATTCTAATAAAATCCGATACAATGAAAGCAAGATAAATCATGGGTGAGGGGTAGAAGCAGCATCATCGTGATCATCCTCCGCTGGATCCTCCGGCTGGGGGTGGGCAGGCCGCTCAACCTGCTAGGACTGGAATGGCGGATGGGGGGGTAGGGGCGGGACTGGTAGCAGGCGTAGGTCGGGGATCTCTGGAATTGAGATGTTTGGAGCCATACTGACCACCACATGACGCATAGTCGTAGCAGCTGCCAAGAGCTGGTCAAGCTGCTCTTGGAACTGAGCATCACGCTCCTGCAGCTGACAATCACGCTCCTCGATCCTGGCCCCCACCCTGGCCTCGATGCTGGCCTCTAACTCTTGTTTGAGCTCCTCTCGCAACTCCTTTGAGGATGAGGAACCCGGCCGCTTCGCTCTCGCACTTGCCTGAGAGCTCCTGGCAGTATATGAAGGGCCAGCGCCACTTGAGTGGGGCAACCTAGTCGGTGTAGGTCCAAGCCCAAGCCCGCTAACTCGACCAGGGTGCTACGGCCGGCCACGACCCGCTAAAAGTGAGGCGGTGGGGTCCAAGGCAGACCCCTGAGACTCACGCAACTCAGTATCGACCTGAGTCATCCGTGCCTACCAAAATTAATATAAAGAAGTTAATTATAATATAATGATATTTACACTGTGATATTATATTAATATTTAATTTATTACTTACTGCTATCTCCTCAACCTCATCCAACGCACGCCCGTCTCGAGGTCTATACACCATCGGCCACATCTCGCCATAAGTGGCCGTGTATCCCCTCTCCTGCCGTATCTTTTCCCTCTGTAAATGAAACCAAAGAAATAATTAGTTACAAATTAAATACATATACATATTTAATAAATTTATTTCAAGTACTCACAATCTCGTCATAAGTTATCGCAAAGCTCCTGCATCCAGTCCTATGACGTATCGTCTGATGCCTGACGCTCCCAGCATTTCTCCTAGAAAGAGCCTGAAGCAAAATGTAAAAAAATTAAATTAAATCAGTCAAGTCGGATAAAAAATAAAGAAATTATAATTAATACAATATTATCATACCATCTGGTCAGCCGTCATCCTAAAATAGACGTAACTGGACCAGTCTTGCTCTGGGACTCCACCAGGTACATCTGCCAGTATCTCCTGGAGGGGCCTCGTCCCGTCACCTTTCTTCTCCCTCCATAGGTCGGCCCTCCTGTTCTTCCATGCCATCCCAAGCCTCTTGATCGTGTCAGCCCTCAACTCCTCCCCCAGAATAAATTTACTCTATGATTAAAATAATAAATTAACTAAATAACAAATTATAAACAAACAATTAAACAATTTCAATAAAAATATTTAGTTTTTAACTAATTTAAAAATATTATAAATAAAATATAAATTATATCAAAAACAAATAATAATTAAACAATTAAGTAATTTAAATGAAAAAATATTTTTACTCAACTAAATTTAAAATTATTATAAGTAATAAATTAATGAAATCAATAACAAATTATTTTCATTTAACTACTTTTAAATAATTTAAATAAAAAATATATATTCATTTAACTACTTTTAAAAATATTATAAATAACAAACAAATTAAATAAATAAAAAATTATAATCAAACAATTAAATTATTTGAAAAAAATATATAATCATTTATTTAAATTAAAAAAATTATAAATAACAATTTTATATTACCTTCATCATTTCCCAACCTTGCTGCTTCTTCTCTGAGGTGATCTTCTTCCAGTCCTGCACGTAGATGGGGAACAGCGTCCACTGCTGACCAAGGAGGCGCACGTACTTGTTGTACAACTGGCCACCTTTTTTCATCGGTTGGCCCAACTCATTGAGCGGCACAACCACTCGTCTGCTCGTCATCATCGACAGCTCTCTGGCTGTCAGCCTCCTATAGGACCTGTTCCCCTCAGTGTCTGCAAAATTTAATTAAGAAATAAATTATATATCAATGAATTAATTCAATTTCTATATAAATTAAATACTTATCAAAATTTAAAAAAGTTAAATAAATACTTACCGACAAATTCCACCTCAAAACCAGCCTGACGTCTGGGAGCAGGACGCTGCGCAGCCTGGGGGTTCTCATTCCCCTGATCCTGCTCCTCCTCCTCCTCTTCGTTAGCAGCATCAGCATCAGCATGAGGTTGCTCATCCCCAGTAAAATGAGCCTCCTCAGTCCGCTCAATATCATCCTGCTCCATAAAACTGAGGATATCCTCCTCGCTGAGATCGTAGTCATGAATGCTGGGGAATGGCTCACCAGCATCATGATGATCCTCACTGGGTCCAGCTCTCTCAGGATCAACTGGCTCCTTCCCTGGCCGACGACTCATCCTAATAACAACAGATAGTAATTATTTATAAATAAAATAAAAAGAAAAATTATTTATAAGCCACAACATAATAAATTAAATAAAATAAAACATAAAAATAAAAATTATCTATCAATAAATTACTACTTCTACCTGAAAATAAGGATTTGCAACTAAACCAGAACTCGGATATATTTTGTGGAGAAAATTCAGCAGAGCTTCGCTTCCTGAACGATTGAAGAAGTGAAAGTGAAGGGGGGTATATATAGGCCGAGCATTTCTACCGGTTTATGTAGAAACCGCTAGAAATTTCTAGCGGTTTGGGAAAAATCGCTATAAAGCCTAACGGTCACCAACCCATTTACCGCACCTCGGGAATTTACAGAAATTTCTAGCGGTTCATGTAAAAAGAAATTACTAGCGCAAACCGCTAGAAATTACTCTCTCTCGGTTTCTCTGCATTGCAACGGTCACATAAAAACTCCTCGGGAAATTAAAAAGTTTCTAGCGGTTCATGTGTTAACCGCTAGAAATGTTCCTAATCTAGCGGTTTATTGGCCCGAACCGCTAGAAAATAAACACTACAATTTTGGCGCCAAGTTCCCGCCAAACCCCGGGAAATTTTCTAGCTCTGAATTTCTAGCGATTAGGTTATAACCGCTAGAAATATGCGGGCAATGGTCAAAGCGTCGCTAATTTGCAGCGGTTTTTCTTAAAACCGCTAGAAATGTTGGAGTTTCTAGCGGTTTTGCTTGAACCGCTAGAAATGTTCCGCTGCTAACTCAACATTTTCTTGTAGTGCCAATACAAAGCTCCCCTCACATGCTTATCTCATATCACGTAAATCATAATTGAAAAGTTGCTTTTAGATCTTATATGCTTGATGTTTGGGAAGTATCAGAAGTGTTTCTGAAAAGCACTTTTCCGCAAATCAAGATAAATTTCTCTACATCTTTACTTCGTATAAAAACGCTTTTAAAATCATGGTTTTGATTCTATCTAAATACTTCGATAATTATGTTTCACAATCCACCTTTTGGTCTATAAGTAGGATGGGTCAAAAACTCACCCAAATAACTAAAATTTTTTTTCCCCAAAATATACTTGTGAGCTAAATAAGCTGCTTTTTCTACTATTAAATCGCGAAACCAAAGAAAGCCTTGAAAGATCCAACCACAGTTCCAAACAGTTTTCCTCTTTTATAAAAACACATGTCGCATTTGAAAATTCAAAACATATACTATCTTTGGTCCTTAATATAACACCCTGTTAATTGATTTTTATTTTGGTCATAAATATAAGAACCCAACCCACTTTGTCTCTCATATTTATATGTATTTTTTTTCAAAGTGGCCCTTCTAATAATAATAGTTCTAGTCAATACACTTGATTAGTAAGAATATTTTAGGAAAAACAACACCTATTTAGGACAAATAACTAACTCAACTTACTTCCTTACTCTCTTCAAATTAGTCAACTGGCTTTTATAATTAGGACTGGAGGTAGTATAATAAGAACATCACATTGGTTATATGAATCACGCAGCATATCTATTAACAATTAGCTCTTTGGATATGTCATTCACTAAAAAACTTCATTAAATGACTTCAAATATCTTTCTCAATTATATATATAATTAATAGCAAGTTCTATTATGTACAAATTATGAACTATACAGTTCCTCAGATATTAATATTTTCCAATTATTATCATATTCATGTCAATTGAATTATTTGCAGGCCTGTGTTTGAAGAGTTAGCAGGGAAGCCGTCAATATGGGAGGCCATGTCTCCTCAAGTGCTAGAAGTGGCTCTCAATGTGGATTCTGATTTTGTGAAACCCTTCTTGTCCAATAACTAGGATTGAAGCCACAAATCTCAATAATTAATTGAATTGTGTCTTTTAATTTTCAAAGAAGACAAGGGCGTGATTTGTGTGATTCCAGTAAGAGTCAGAATAAAATTTACTCAAAATATTTGAGCAAGTTTTAGAAGTGAATGGAGTTTTCATTTGCATATTATATATATTTCAGCAAAACTCAATAAATGTTTATGCTTGTTTCCAAATAAAGATAAGTACTATATGTACATGCGATGGTTTCAGTTGAATATATAATATCTAGTTTATTTTATTTGTTAAATATTGGAAGTAGAAGTTGTAAATATTTACAATCTTAGAGAAATAAAAAATAAAGGCCCATTGGCATTGTGTATTTAAAAATAAGTGCTAAATTTATTATTTATTAAGATAACAATTTTTTGACATCAAGATAACAATAATTTACAACTGCCACCTTCATTATTTAACATTCATAATTTACCAAGGAGACAATTTAGTTTACACGCATTATTTATTTATATAAAGAAGGCTGAATAAGATTAATAAAAGAAAAGGATGAATAGTGGAAAATATTGACTGGACCTCGTATTCCTAAAACAATTCCAAACAAAAGGTCTAAAATGGAAATATCTATTCAATAAAAAGAGTAACTTATCTCACGCCAAACTTCATGTAATGGTAAATTATTTTATTGTTTCACCAACACATTATAGTTTATTTTCCCCAACATCTAGTTACTCCCTTTGCTCTCAAATGTCAAAAATATTTAGAGATTGAATTTTATTGTAAATATATTATGATTTATTTTATTTATCATATTTATTATTTTTTAAAAAAATAATTTTCCTAACTCATAAACTAATACATAATTTATTTGAGTTTTTAAATTTATTTAAATTAATTAAACACTATCTCTGGTCCTTAATATAAAACCTTATTTGACTTTTATTTGGTTCTAAATATAAGAACTCAATCCACTTTATCTCTTATATTTATGTATTTTTTTAAGATAATCCTTCTAATAATGATAGTTTTAGGCAACACATTTGATTAGCAATGATATTTTAGAAAAAACAACATTTATTTATTACAAATAACTAATTTAAATTATTTTTTAATCTTTTTAAATTAATTAATTAACTCTTATAATTAGCACCGGGAATAGTAGTTTTTATATCAAAGAATGAGGGAAATAATTGAGCCTCGCTTTACTATTTTAAATACTTCCAGAGAGGGGAAAATGAATACAGGAAAAGGGCGGGAAAGGTCTCTTCTTGCGTCGCTCGCCTGGTTCTTTTCGTCTCACCGGCTCACATGTAGAGTTGAATTTCCTTTCCCTTTTTGCTCTGAATCAACCCTATTGTTTCTTTCTCCTCCATAATCCATACGTTGTCACCGAACGAAAACCCAGAGCGATGTCCAAGTTCGAGTACCCCAGGCTTTCGCGCCCCGAGATCACTGCTATTTTGGCGCAATTTCAGATTGCAAATGTGTCCGAACATCAACTCATGACCCCGAACATGGACTTTGTTTGGGACCTCTACTTCCGGATCCTCAATCACCTCGACTCTCTTCCCGAGTAACATCTCCACACTCCGCTTTAACCCTATTGTCATTCTCGCTCATTTTTGTCAGACATGACTGTGTTGGTTTTCTGTCCAGTTGGCTTTAAGTTTTTTTTCCCCTTGCAATTTCAAAGAGGGCTTTTGTTCTAATGCTCCGGTAATGGCTTACGGAAAGGAAATGTGAGCTTGAACTGAATGTTTTCATGTAAAGGGATGTCATACAGACGCCAAGGAGGGCTTTTTGAATGCGGGGTGGGCACTTTTAGCAGATTTAGTTTTATATTATACAGAAACTGTATACTATTAAATAATTTGAATCCAAGAGACAATGTCCGTAAGTAACGTGTTGAATAATCTCCTCTTCCCCAAAAGTTCAGTATGCACTTGTAAGACTCGGAAAAGTGGATCTTCCCAACTTGCTTCTTCCGTTATATGCAATGGATAAAAATTATGTGCAATTTTCTACATTCTTGCCATTAGGCTCTCCAATTAAAAAACAACAAGCTTATGAGTCTCTAATAATAATAATTGAACAAATGTATGTTTCTCCAATTAAACCATGCACTTTTCATATTGTTATAGGAAAAATGAAATTGTTATGCTTCATTTGATGATAGGTATATATAACTACATATGTATTTGGACCATTTGTAATCTAGGGCTTATCCATTTGGAAATCAGAACATTTCAATTTTAAAATTATTGTTGCTCTCATGTTGTTCCCTCTGTTCAAGTCTTTATAGTATTGGAAATCCCATGTTACTTTTTCTTTAGTGCCTGCTGCCTTCTTTTACTTACAAAGTCTCTAATTTGGACAGGGAAGACCATGTTGAGTTTGCTGCTCTAGAGCATCTTGAGAACCCAGACTTCCATGTTGACTCTGTTCGGGTAATGAAGATGTACAGCAGAATAAAGGAAGTAGTGGCCTCGTTGGATTGCCCGAGGAACTTTACCCTCAAAGATCTTTTAACACCCGAGGCTGATAGAACAGAGTTTTTCCTGGGCGCACTTCTAAATTTCTGTCTGCATAGGTGAATGTTTTTTTGCCTTGGCTCCATGTACTTGTGGGAAATTAGGTAAACATAGAAAGTAGAAGCCTTAAAATGTAGAGGGGAAGAAAATACATTCCTTAGTGAGCTAATGAAGTTGGGTTCTTGGTTTAGAATGGAGATTTTCTGTGTGTGTTAACTACTTGGGGAAAAACCTTTGGTGATGGGTTGAAACTCTCAAGAGGTCAGTTGCGTCATGGAGGCACTGTCGAGGACTTCAAAGTAGCTGGCACACAGCGTTTTCTGTTATTGCTTTTCAATTATCTTATGGCACCTTTTTTTTTTTTTTGTAATCTTAGAGAAACGAGATTGAATTCGATTACAGACATAGTGGATGAAGTCAACCTTCTTGAGGAACAGCAGAGAGATCAGGAAACAAAGATCTTGCAGGTTTATAGTTGATACCAAAATTGTTTTTATTTTACCTATTTTCAGGGCATCAGATTTCATTGAATGCTTTCAGTTTTCCATTACAGTTGAAGTCAGAAATTGATGGCTACAATGAAGCCAGGGAAAGGGAGGCAACTCTTGTTCAAGAGGTGGATGCAAAAGTTAAAGAACTGCGTCAAACCATTGCTGCCCTTAACACCAACCAGATGTCACTTAGAGCTACTTTTCGGAAGTTGAAGGAGAAGACAGGGGAAATGGATGGGAAGGTGAATCTTGGCTAGAACTTAGTAGATGAATGATAAAGCCCAAGTATTTTTTTTCCAGCACCTCCATCTGAAACTTTTTATTTCCACCATTGAGTTGAGTCTCTCAGGCAAACTTTGTACTTTCATTTCTACAACGAAATCCTCTTATCGGAAATTATTTCACCAGAACTCTTTGACTCAGTTTGTCATAAATCTCCCACGTAGTCATCTATTCTTTCAGTTAAACTACATCTCAATACTTATTTGCCAAAACACCTCACTCATTAAGATACCCTTCAACCCATTTGCACTGTAGATATGTTACACATGAAAAATACAGACCACCAAATTTCCGCAAGTATGTATTTCAAGATGTCATTTAATTTTCCACCATGTTAATATCAACAGTGGGCCTTTTGACTGATAGTAGATGCAGATCTCTTACTGCTCTGACTGATAATGGAATTTTATCAGAGCGAGTTATTAAATATGTGGCAAGACTGATTATATTTTTGTGTCTTAATTTGGTTATTTTGTAGAGCATTTGGAAATAGGAGAGCCAAATTTATGACAGATCTCACTGTACTTACAATATCCATTTTCTGCTTGTAAGAATCAGCAATTCCATTGTATTTCTCTGGATAAGTTATCATTCATTCGTGTGAAGATGACTCTATTTCCAGATAGTTCCAGCAGATGGGTTTTCATTGCATGCCTCATTGTAGCTTGCTACTTTACTTGCTTCTAGCTTTGTTTCAATTTAATTATTGAGATTTACTTAGTCTTTGTAGTTAGTTCCCATTCTCTCTTCCCTCCAGTCAGAACGCTGCGTTTTTTTTTTTTGGGGGGGGGGGGTTGGCTTTTTTTCCTCAGTCATATTAGTCCTCAATTATCCATTTCCCTTTTCTGACCGCAGATCTCTTCTGCTGAGTTTACCCTTGTACAAAGTGTTCAAGAAAATGCAAACCTACGATCAAAAGTTGTTCAGTCCCCTGATAAATTGCAGGTACTATTTTTAGTCGTTTCTTAGTTTTCAATGGGCATCAGTTAAAAATGTTTGTCCATCAAGTTTATTGGTGTTAATAACTCTGGTACTTCTGCAGGCATGATTGAACCAATTAGTTTTATGTGTCTCATTTAGCAATTAGTAGGTTATATAGCTTTACTTTTCCTGCCGTGATTTGCTTTTCTGAAGTTTTCTTTATTGCAGTTATTGGATTATTTTCATTCTTGTTGGTACCATTCACCACAGTAAGATCTAATTCTTTTTCTAATTTTGATGAAGTAGCTGGTTTTGGTAGTGTTTCCCTTTTCCTTTAATGCTTACTTTAAATTTACATAATCAAGATTTTTTTTTTTTTTAGTGTTGTCTTGAAGCTACAATTGTTATAAGCGCTTAATTAGTTGTTGTCAATTGTTGAAGTATGGAAAGAAAGAATTTGCACTTGGCTGGTGCTAGCTGTATTACAGTAAGCTGCACCTTTGAACTAAGTCATGTATAGGGTTATGATATTTGCGCAAGCCACTTCTCACCTATCCCTCTGAAACAGGTTGTTCCCACCCTAACATATTGCAACAAGGTAGACAAGTTTTAGATGTGGTTTGCTCCCCACAAGAGGGGATTTAATACACACAACCACAGTTGTCAGATTGTGACATGTATCATGACTTGGAAAACATTTTTTACTCCTGAATTGTATAATTTATTGTAAGATGTGTCTGATTGTAACATTCAGTAACAAGTTAAAAACACCTTAAAACATAGAATATGACATTTTAAATGTGATTTGCGGCAATTAATCATATATTAAATGTGATCTCCAGAACTTTTGGGGACAACTCGGATGGCATAATCAATCTTCTTTCCAATATTGGTTTTCATCAAGCTTATAAGCTAAGACATCACTCGCTTGTTCTTGGCTTTCCAAACATTACATTGAGTCATTTCTGGGCAGCTTCTCTGTTTAGGCAGTCATCCTTCTCTTTCTTGCAGATGAATATGACAGCGATTGAGTCTATTCAAAGTAACTAAATTTGTTGGTTTGTCAATAGTGATATTCGTTGGTATGTTATTGGCAATCCCTTCATTGGCTGTTGACCATATTTTGGCATAAAAAGGGATCAGGCCTATGAGGCTGTGATATCATTCGAGGGTTCAGTAATTAATGCTCTGATTCTCTCATGATTCCAGTCTGAACAAGGGGTTTTATTTAGGCCCTCTAGGATGAGGAAAAATATTGATAAATTAAGCTTAAGGAAAAACTTAATCAAGGTATGTTTACAAGGACATAAAGAACGAAATAAAATGTTGACCTGACTAAAGATAGATGCTTGTTGAAGTCTTTTGGGTTGTTTTGATACCTAATACTTGTTTTCCAACTTTGACTCGTAAATTCTCTTGCACAATTTCGCTCAGAGAGCATTGGAGGAACAAAAACTAGCTCGAGAAGAAGCTAAGAATGCGGAAAGATCAGCCATGCAAACTTTCCATGAGAAGAATGCCCTTGTTGACCTTTATTCAAAGGTATTTTATTCATTTCCATGGTAATTATTCAACTTCATATGCATGTTCTTTTTTTTTTCCCTTCTGTCGATTATATTATGAGGTCTATATTTTATCTAAGTGAAAAAAAGTATTTTCCTTAATTCTTGAACGTTAATCTTGGATAAAGAGTTCAAAGTTGAACTTATAGACCTTGTTCATTTCTTTATTTGTTTTCAATTGGTTTAATAATTTCAGTTTCATATCCCTATGAGAGGTTTAGGCTTCTTTTAAATCTTATAATGCAAACTGCTGATAAATATAAGAATGCATACAGGCCATGCCAGATCTGATATATTTCTTACTATTGTTTTTCTCAGGTTGAGAAGAAAATGTCAAAGCACTTTGCTCAGATGCAAGCCATACAAGATCAGGTGTTGCCTCTAACATTTTGATTTGTTTAGTTGCTGTGAATTCTGCATGAATATGGGAGACTGAAACCTTTTATTTTTGTTAGTTTTGATTTGAATTAAGTTCATACAAGAGCGGCTCTACTCAAGATATGAGATATATTGTGGATGTAATATTTCCTGTCCTTTTAACTCAACTCCAAACACCTTGTTTGATGACATGAGCACCTCTCAGGTAAATTCTGCAAAAGAAATTGAGAAAAGTCTAAAAGCTTTGAAAGCAAAACTCAGTGATGAAGAAGTGCTGGAAAAGTCACTTGATGTCAAACTGGTTGAAAGAAAAGGAAAGCGTAAGTTCTTGTTCAAGCTATGCTGTATCTATGTTTTCAGTCATATTTGAGCAAAGATGTTTGTTGTGTTATGCTTTTAATTTTTCCCCTTTTCTGTTCCCTTTGTTGTCTTTTTCTTAGTTGAGCAGCTGGGAGAATTGATGAAACAGTTAGAGAAAGAAAGGGATATGAAGTCTGAGGAAGCATCTACATACCTAAATGGTGTGAAAATGGAGGCTGAATCAAAGAGGCATGATCTGGAAGAAAGACAGAAGAATGTCGAAGCTGTGTTAGCGGAGGTATCGTGACTACTATCTTTTAAAATTCTTTGTAAGTCAGGTTAGTTCGATGAAATCATGAGTTAATATGTTGCCTGTCTGCTATTAATAGGTGGATGCCACAAATATTACAATCAAATCAGTCAAAGAATCTGGATCAGCTAAACTGGAAATGTTAGCTAGCACACATGAAGAGTTAACCAAAGAGGTACATAGCCACTGTCATTATCTTCAAAAACCTGTGAGGACTGATCACCTGGTTGACGTAAGTAGCTTATAAAGGAATACATGATTCCCTTCACAAATGAAATTGGAATTTGAAATGATAGAGTCCCGTGGGTCCCGCAAACATCCCACAATCCCCAAAATCGTTAATCACGTACAATGGAAGGAGAGGGCTGAAAGGAAAAGTGGGGAGTTGGCAGAAGCAGTTGGTGAGAGAGTGGGAGAATAGGGTGGTTATCTCTGCGCCATTATCAATACCGTTAATTACGTCGCCATGTTCATTGTGCTTTTTCTATTGATATTTTAGAAGTTGTTCATTGCACTACTAACCCGTAATCGGGCAAATTGCTGTCGCAGTTTCAACAGTATAAGGACTTGCTTGCCCATGTGATCGAATCGGGTTCAAAAGCTGATTGAAGCAGCAGGTAGTTTACATTTTTACATATCTCCCTTTCTATATAGGTGGTAGTTGTCCTAATGCCTTCAGCGCGTAAACTTCCCTACTGGGATTTTATCCTGGTTTTGGGTTGCACATTGATGTGTTCAATGCCTTGGTCACCTGCTTGAACTACCTGTATTCTCTGTTGTGGTGCACTGATGCCATCTAGTCACATTTTGTCTTAGGTGATTATGCCTATGAATGTACGAGAGATTCCGTTTTTCGTCTAAACGCCAATATTATGGCATCGTTGACCAAAAATAATTGTCCTCTCCGTATCATGACATGACCACATTGGTGGGCATACTCTTTGCCAGTGAGGGTTGTTTCGTTGTTTACTGAACTTGGGACATCTATTTAAATTAGATGAAGCTCAATAAATAGTATTCTGAAAGGCAAAATTTAATTGTGTTCAACGTTCATGCTTAGTTTACCAGTTATAGAATCTGAAATAGCTGATACTTGACGAAGCAATGGCCTTCATGATGTAGCTGCTGTTGTGTTTCTTTGTTGCTGTTTTGTTTTTACTTACTGTTGGTGTTGCTTCCTTCATATTTACAAATCACAAGTAAAGAAGAACTAGAAACAAAAAAAACACGCCATCTCTATCCCCGTTAATTGGAGGGTGGAAATTCAAGCAAAATTATGCTGCTTTTCTAAAAGGGCCGGAGAACTAGGATCGGACTTCCATGAAGTTGTCAAAATGTTTTTACCGTCAAATATTTGATCCCTCGACTCCAAACTGACCTCTTTTTATGACAGATCAGGTTTTGATGTGTGGTCCCACAAGACGAGCTTTTTAATATGGCTCCAGGGCGTTTCTTCCTTTGAGGTGCTGCCTGCTGCAGATCTTCAACTTCAAGGGCCAAAGCCTACGACTTCGATGCATTTTCTCGTTGTATTATTATTATTATCATTATTTCTATCATCATCATCATCATCATTGATCAGCTCGCATTTGGACCTTAAATATGCTTGCTTGTAAATTTTAACGGATTCAAATTTTAAGTTGTGTGTGTGTATATAACAATTTTCACATCGTATTGCTTGTTCTTCTAAATAAATGATTTTCCTTCATTATGAAGAACTTGGACGAACTTGGAGAACACATTTCACAATAATTATTCTTCTTTACCTTTCAAAGTCAATTTTTTCCCCCTAAAGATAAAAGGTTAATAATACAGCGTTTTCTAAAAAGTAAAAAGACAATTTTCAATAAAGGTTAAAAATACAAACCTCTATTTCTTAGGGCCAAGCATCATTAAAAATGGAAGGCAACAATCTATTATTGGTGTAATTGAAAAGTCACTCATTTTTCTTAGCGTTTATCCTTGGAAAGAGCTAATCACTCATTTTGACAATCCATGCTTCTGGTGACGTCATCTTATCAATCCCCGACTCTGTTCTTTTTTGTCTTGATAGAACAAGATGATAGGGCTTCCTCGTATAGGTGATATGAAAGTCTGCAAATTACAGGCCCCAGAATGGAAAGAAACAGACGACATAGTCGTTCACGATTGCAGAAACAGGGGATGCATATGCAAGCCACTACATGATAACAATTCTGATAAACATGCAAAAGAGAAACAAGACCAAACCAGCATCATCTGATAGAAGTCAACATAGCAGCAGCAGTATAGTAGCCAAAAATGAAACAACGGTTAATAAATAGATTCCAAGTGAGGTACACAATCGCAGACGTTCAAACCTGACTTCATTCTCCCTCCCATGTCATTTTCCATCAGAGAAATAACATTGTCTTCATCATAATCCCCGGATTTGTTTCACAGCCTTCTTTATAAATCGTGCAAAGAAAGGCATACATGCTGCAACTTTTATTCACAGCAAAAATGAAACGCCGACATTCTGGAAATCAACAAAACAATAATCAAGAGTCTTAAATTTCCCATGAGTTCTACCACGAGAATTCAGCCCCGCTCTGTTTCAAGACAAATGGACGAGCAGGTCCAATCCTCAAGCCCTAAGCCGAAGCAACAAGAATTCCCCTCCCCTTTCCCATTCCGTCAATTCAATCTATTCGACGATTATGATCATAAGAACAAGAGATCCCCGCCATCATCGTTCCAAGAAGCCATCGTTCGCATCCAGGCACCACCGACAGCAACAACAACAACAATCGGGTGCAGGAACTTTCAGAGAAAGCGAATCATCACGCATGCACAACCAAATTATATTACTCAAGATGAGGAAATCGATAGTTAAACTAGAGAATGGGCAGGGGCCGCGCGAACGCAGGCCCCCACTGCCACAAATTATGACGTAGGCTCTCCCCCTTGGGGAGACCTTAGGGTGACACCCCTCCCAAGTGCAATGGAGGCCGTCAACCTAGGCCATGGGCCTTCTTGATCACCCATCGACCCCGTCCAGGTAAGTATGTTGCAATCGTCGCCTTCCCTTCTATTTTATAGCCTCGGGCTCTCCTCCCCTCCTCGTTAGCTCTTCGATGTGGGACTTCTACCATAATACTAGTTTGAATAAAAATGAAACTATAGTTTTAAAAAAGTAATTTTTATGATATAAAAAGTACTTTTTGAGTCATCCAAACACTTTTTAAGATGAAATACGTTATTGATCCTTTATTAGTTTTTCTGATTGAGGATAGCTATTCATCATCTTGATCATCAAAGCCCAATTTCAAAAGATTAGCTTGAGTACTCCCTTCTAAAGTTGACTCCACTTTACGCACTTCACTCGATCTTTTTATCTATTAGAATCTTCCGTAGGTAGCCTTTTCCAGTTGGTCAACTTTCAATGAAAGCACCAATGTAATAAGCACAAGTCCAAGAAGAGAGTCCAATCTTAAAAGACTAGCTTGTTATGAGGGAGAACCCTTTGAACTTATAAACCTCACAACACTTGTGAGGTTCCTCAATATGAGACTTATAACATCATGCCTTCACCTCTCGTCTTTTATCTTTGCCTGCTCCGTAGTTGCTTCTTTTCGTCATCTTCAATCAACACCCATCAGGATGAAAAGACTTGGGAACACAGGTCCAGAAGGATGTGTGGATTCATGGGGAGGGTGAATTCCGGTTGATGACAAGTTATGTATATTCTTCAGTTGTTACTTTGCTCATGACTGGGTTCCTGAATGGGATTAAGGGTGTGTTTGGGTGACACCCCAAACCATAGTTTGGGTGACACCCCAAACCATAGTTTGGGGAATAATCTACCCAAACACCCCCTCCAAAAACCAAAACCATGGTTTTGACTCCAAAACCATGGTTTTGGAAAAAGCAAAATTTTTTTGCTTTTGGAGAAAAAAGGGAGAGTGTGAGGGTCTATATGATATGTATCTTGTTATTTTTTTTATAAACATATTTTTTTATAAATATATTTAATCTTATATTTTATAAATATATATACACATTAATTATTTATTAATTATATTATCTTATGCATTATTAATTATGTTGGTAAAAAACATATTATTAACAATTTTATTCCTTCAAATTAAAATATATCATAAAATCTATTTTTTCTGTAATTATCATATTAACTTATGTCTTTTTTTTTAGTAATTTGTATATATAAAAAGTGCTTCTGATAACAACTATCCAAACACTCTCACTTCTCAGAATCACTTTTTTACAAAATCTATTTTTCACAGAATCTATTCTCCCCAGAATCTATTCTCTAGAATCACTTTTCCAAACCACGGTTATTAATTCGTTGTTCTTTAAACAGGAAATGGACGGATCCGGTCAACAGGGTTCTGGTGACGACAACTCTTTTACTAGCTGGAGAAAGGGTAGAGGGCCAACCCATATGAGACATTTAGCTTTACGTGATGAGAGCACGCAGCCTATGAGGATTACAGTAGAGTTTGATGATAATCTGAAGCCTATAGGAAAGGATGGGGCTCAATTTACTAGTTATGTGGGTTATCTCGCACGTAGTAAGATTAGCATTGACATTCCTAGCTGGAAGAAGGTGGACAAAGATTTGAAGAAAAACCTTTGGGAGGATATATTGGTATATTGTGCATTGTTTTCTCTACTTGTTTCAATTATAGTTGCTTATTTACTTTATAACTCTATGCTATTATTGTATTGCAGCTGACATTTGATATTCCTGCCACTAAGCAAATGAGAGACCGTTTGTTAAAGCAAATTGATGAACGGTGGAGGGATTTTAAGTCCACGCTTACAAAACATTATATTAATGGAAAAAGAAACGGTGAGCATCCTAAGGAATGATATTCATTTATTAGTGAAGAAGCATGGGAGAATTTTGTGAAGCAACGTGAAGACCCTGCATTTCAGGTTTGGTTTCTTCAAACTTAATTTTTAATCAGGTCATATTTTATTTAACTAAACTAATTTTGTCGATTTGGTTTCATTGTCATAGGCATTGAGTCAGAAGAACAAACAAATATCTGAACAGAATGTATACCCACATACCATGTCTCGTGCAGGGTATGGTGGGTTAGAAAGAAATATGATGGAGGAACGACTGAAGAATGCACAGATGGCTGCTGCTTCAGATCCTACTGGCTACATGCCACCTATTGAGTGTCCTTCTCGCCAAGAAAAATGAAAGGCGGCGAGGATTAAAAAGGGTCAATACATTACTCCACAGTCTGCTGCTGTTGCTGAGAGGATTGCAAGTAATATTTAAGAATTATGTTTCATTAATTGTTTTTTTCAATTATCTTAAATTGAATTTATTGCTTTAATGATATAGGATACACTTGAGGAGCAATTATCTCAAGGTACATTCATCCCTCAAGGACGGATGGATATCTTGGCCACTGCTATGAGAAAGGCTGACCATCCCGGAAGAGTTCGAGGGACCCCTAAAGGGATTGGTATTAAAGAATTTTTTGGCTCTGTTTCACGAAGAAGCACTAGATCATCCTCTGCTAACATGGTATCTAAAGAGGAGCTCGACCAACGACTACAGGAAGAAATAGAGAGAGTTCGAGCTGAACTAAGTTAACAACACATGGCAGAGATGCAAAAGATACGTGATGAATTCGATGCCAAGTTTCAACAGACTCTGATGATGATGGGTACGAGTGGATTCCAGATGCCCCGAGTATCTGAACCTTCCCAGGTAATAATCACACATCTTTTTAAATCTTCTAAAGATTCATTTGATCCATTTAAACTTATTTAATGTTTCTTAACTAATTTCATATTATGTTTCAGGGTTCACCTGTGATAAAAAGCGAGAAAGGCAGTAATAATTAGACACAGCCACTGACAGTGTCTGACCCTGACCCTGTCGAAGACAATGGGATGCCGTGTTCTCTCTATGTGGATTATGAAAATTCACCTGTTCATGTTGCTAGTGGTCGAGCATTCATGGGCACAACGATTCACGGCAACAAAATTCCGAGCAATCAAGCAAGGGTGACAGTGGAGAGGATTGTTCGTGGTCAGGGGTACACCAGTGCCCAATCCTACTGATGAGGTTCGACTCTTGGCCCAAGCTAAAGGACATTTCATTTTGTGGCCAAAGAGACTTATTGCAAAGCCAATGGTGAAGAAGGCGGCAACAAAGAAGGCCACAACGAGCACATCATTTGATCCTGTACTCTTGCCTCTTCCTAGTGATGTTGCGCTTATGTATTCCAGTTTGGAGGTTTTTCATTCCATGGTGCCAAACATGGATAAGCCTGTGGCTTTCAAAATGCCGTTGGGGGTTGTGGGTTCAGATATAACATACGACTTTACCATTGACAAGAGGGACCTCGTTCAGTTCCTCAACTTTGAGGAGCTTGATATAGCTTTCATGCAGCTCGCTATTTTGTAAGTTACAATATCATTTTCTTATAACATATTATACTTCATGCATGTCCTAATGTTTTTTACTTAAACAACAGGCACTTTAATCAAATCTGTCGAAACGGAGGACTTGAAGGAACATATGGCTTTATGTGTCCTTAAAGGGTGCAGAAAGAATTTAATATTGTGGAAGCAAGGTCAATCTACATTATGACCACAATGACTCAGACCAGAAAGCTAATATATTTTGCACCTTACGTGGAAGGATAA